GCAGGTGTGCATAGAGGCCAGAGGTGTCAGAAGCCACTGGAGCTGGAAGTTATAAATGGTTGTGAGCCACTGGATACAGCTCCTGAGAATTGAACTCAGGTCTTCTTTAAAAACAGCAATTTTATAGTTAACTGCTGTGTCATCTTTCAAGATCCTGAATTTGTTTTTCAATAGAAAATTTCTGTTTATTTGCTTTCATATATAAGAATTACAGTAGTATTGCTGTAATTTATTGTAAAATATTTGGTTAATTACATTGCAGTCCAAAAATAATTCATTCACTTTAATACTTTCTTTGTTATTAATAAGTTATTAGAGCCCATCAAAAGTTTACCACCTTTTTTGCTACATTTTAACACTTTAATTAAAAGCCCTATTATTATTATTATTATTATTATTATTATTGTGTGTGTTTGTGTGTGTGAGCTAGAGGCCAGAAGAAGGAATTGGAGCCTCTGAACTGGAATCATAGGTGGCTGTGAAACTGTTGACAAAGATACTGGAATGTGTACTTGGGTCCTTTGGATGAGCAGACAGCACTCTTAATCACTGAGCCATCACCTCATCCCCTAAAGTAGTTAGATAACGTATCTGAGGCCACAGGTGTTTATTAGCTAACTTGGAACAACCAACGAGGTACCGGATTCTATCATGTATCAGCCTTCGGCTTTACAGGCCAGGTGTTTTGGTGATGTGTTGCTGCACAGGTGTGAGACACATTACTGACCTATTGGGAGTAGTAAACCTTCTAACACTGAGCTTACAACACTGGACATTAATCCTCTAAAACAGCTTATCTCCTGACCCTTTCTATTAACTCATTCTTCCGTTACTCATCAACCTTTTTTTTATGTCTTTACCAAATGTCTTCTTCACAAAAGAAAGAGCTAGACCTGAACTTAGTGTTGTAGACAGAGAACCAAAGGATCACAGAGCTCAGCTAGACAAAATGAGCACAGGAAAGGGCTCAGTCTGATGGGTTTGATTGAATACATGCTTTACAGAATCAGAAGCACAGACTGGAGTGGCTTCAGCTAGGGAAATGGTCTAGAAAGGACAGTTAGGCTACCTTGACCTGCAGGTCTGCTGAAGGGCTGTCATCCTCTGTTGTACTTCTGGACAGTTCAGTGTTTATTGCATAAGTGTCATAGCATCCATGGCGTCCACAGAGGCCAGTTTCTAAGGATATAAAGGACCAGAGTGATTTCTACTGGTTTGTAAACAACTGATAAAGTGCAGGCAAACCAAAGACAAAACTTTAGGTTTTGAAGCCACCAAGCAAGAGGTGACAAGAAATACATTTCCTCCAGTTTCCCCATGACCATAGAGAGTGTCTATAGTACTCATGTTTTATAAATGAAAATACAACAAAACAAACAAGGACACTAGTTCATTAGATCCAATGTTAACTGATAGGAGTCTGCAATAGTTTATAGGTAGAATAGGTGGATGTTTTTGACCCAGGATCTCACTGTGTTATTCAGGGTGGCCTAGAACTTGCAATCTTTCTATTCTGGTCTCCTGAGTAGCATGGTCACTAGGCCCAAATCTTCAGGACAAGATTTTTCTCCTTGGCTTCAAAGTTTTGGCTCTAGTATTATTTCTTTAGAACAAAGTGTTTTGTCTGTTTTTATTTTTTTTATTTCACTTTATGTTTATGAGTGTTTTGCCTGTGTGTGTACACCTGTGTACCATGCCTCTGCCTCCTGAGTGTTCCACCACTCCTGGGTTATGCAGTGCTGAAGATCAAACCTGGGGCTTCCCACATTTTAAAGTCCATTGTTCTTAGTATGAACTGGTGACTTCATGCCTGAACTTCGTCCTTTACTTCATGAAATCATGGCCCACATCTTTTTGAATGGTTGGTTTCAGCCAGCAAACATAGTGAACAATACATCTGGAAATATTCTGTCATATTTTATCTGAAAAACTCTTAAAGCAGCTGCTGATTTGAAAGGCTTTTATTATGCTACAGACAGTCTATTGTCTGTGGAAGTGCTGGCTCTTACACAGCACTGTGTGTTGCTCTTTCTGAGCTATTAACTTGATAGAAAAAAAAAAAACTTGTCTTCAGTAATTTATGTGTGGCTTGTATTCCCTAAGAATATTGTAGCTTTTTCTTTAGCTGATTTATTGTGCATTTAGGGATTTTCTTGTTCACTTTTTTGTTTAAGCCCAAGTCAAAAGTTAAATGGCTAAGTAGGATTAAGATGCTACCTAACCTGAGCTTAAGAAATTTTACATTTCTGCTTGGTAAAGTGGTTTAACCTCATGACTGAGCATACCTAAGTAGATTTATACTGATAAAGTGGGGAAATTTCACTGCTTACAGTGTTGCCTCCTGAAGTGGTTTCTCAGCTTTTGGTAATGTCAGGTGTATAGTTCACCTCTTTGGCATATTAGATAGTTAGGATACAAAGGGATAATAATGGACATCTAACCCTTGCCCAGGAATGATTTTTGAAAAGAATGAGGAAGACTATAATTTGTGGTATAATACATATAAACGTACTTATACAATCTAGTTAGTATGACTTAATATTTTTCCATTTATTTATTTATTTATTTATTTATTCACTTTACTTCTTAATCACAGGCCCCCTCTCCTCCCAATATCCTTCTCACCTAGCACTCTTTCCTCCTCCCTACTCCCCTTCTCTTCTGAGAAGGGGGGAAGCCCCCCTGGGTACCAACCCACCTTGGCATATCAACTCACTGCAGGACTGGGGACATCTCTCACTAAAGCCAGACAAGGCAGCCTAGTTAGGAGAACAAGATCCACAGGTAGGCAACAGAATCAGGTGTAGTTATCCTTCTGCCCCCCGACTGCCCCAGTTGGCAGACCTACATGGATACCAAGCTGCACATCTGTGTGTGTGTGTGTGTGTGTGTGTGTGTGTGTGTGTGTAGGGGGTGGGTGACTAGGTCCAGACCATGTTTGCTCTTTGGTTGGTTGTTTAGTGACTTAATATTTTGACAATTTTAGGGATGCTGAGGATGATAAGTTTTATTTACTTATTCGAGTCTTATGTATTATTAGTTACTATTTGTGGTGTGTGTGTGTGCATGCACATATGCAGGTACATGTGCCTTCAGGTGCATGTGCATGCACATGGAGGCCAGAGGTCATGTCAGGTGGTGTTCTCAAGGAGCTGTCTACCTTATTTTTTACAAGGTCTCTCATTGGGATTGGAAGTTTCCCAGTTAGTCTAGACTGGTGGCCTGTCTCCACATTCCCAGCACTGGGATTATAAGCATGTGCTACCACACCTGGCTTTTTCACATGGGTTCTAGAACTCAAAGTCTGGTTCTCGTGTGTTCAGATCTAGTACTAACTAAGCTAGCTCCAGTCATAGTTTTGTTTTTCTGTATCATGTGTTTTTTTGTTTTTTAGATAAAGTTTCACTCTGTAGCTCTCTCTCCAGTCATAGTTTTGTTTTTCTGCATCATGTATTTGGTTTTTTAGATAGTTTTACTCTGTAGTTCCAGCTTTCCTAGAGCTCAATGTATATAGCCCAGGGTGGCTTCAAATCCATGGTGATTTTCTCTCAGCCTCCTGAATGCCAAAATCTTATGTGTAAGCCAGCATGCCTGGCTTAGTGTTAACAACCTAAAAATTATATTTTATAAATTATTTTAAATACTTTTTAGGGGGAGCTGGGAATTGAACCCAAGGCCTTGTGTGCACCAGGCCAGTGGAACAGTGAGTTTATAGCTCCAGACCTGTTTTGTGATTTTAAACTGGCCTGGAGCTCACTCTGTAGCCTGGGTTTTGTATAATTGTCATCCTCCTGCCTTTGCTTCCTGGTGCTGAGTTTGTAGGTATGAGCTTCCACATCTAGCTGTCGTTTTTCTAAGTGGAATAATAAGGTCAGAAAGATTTTCCCACAGCATTGAGTCTTTATAACCATATTGGCCTTCCCTTGAATTAAGATGTGCCTTAATTTGTTTCTGTTAGGTAAGTTATTTTAAAAGTACTTTTGGAAGCCAGGCAGTGGTGGCGCATGCCTTTAATCCCAGCATTTGGGAGGCAGAGGCAGGCGGATTTCTGAGTTCCAGGCCAGCCTGGTCTACAGAGTGAGTTCCAGGACAGGCAGGGCTACACAGGGAAACCCTGTCTCGAAAAAACAAACAAACAAACAAACAAAAGTTCTTTGGTTGTTATGAATAACATGGTAGTGAACATTTTTGTGAATATTGTAATTATCACATTTGGAGATACTGCTTGTAAGATCTGGAAAAGTATGTTATTTTCACATTTATGACATTTAAATGTCATACTAAGGCTTCGTGTTTTATTGTTTAATTTCTAGTCTCAGAGTCAGAGTTTCATTAGATCTTTTCCCCATCTTTCTCCTTCTCCCCTCACCACATATATATTTGTGTGCATAATATTTTATATATTCATTTTACTCTACTTAAGTTGTTGAGAGATTTTTTCAGTGTAGCATATGCACATGTATTTTCAACAGGTTTCTCTATTTTTCTCACTTTTCTCAGTGATGCCTGCAAGTTTCTTTAAAGAATGGTAACAGCACTGTGTTTTGACTTCATGTTGTTTTCTAATTATTTTGTGAAAACATGATATGGGAATTTTCCTTTTGAGACAAGTTCTCACACCTCCTCTGCTGGCTTTGACCTCACTATGTAAATAAGGCGGACTTCTTCCTTCTCCTAAGTATTAAGGTTACAGCTGTGTGCCACCATGCCTGGTATGAGTGATCTTAATAATTGAAATATTTCTCACTTTTCTTTTGAAACTAGATTGTGGAGGGATTTTGTTTGTTTGTTGTTGTTGTTGTTTTAACCAGTACTATATGGGTAGTCTATGCTGGCCTCAAACTGGTAGCAATCTTGGCTCAGCCTCTTGAGTGATGGGCTTGTGGGTATATGCTACCATGCCTGGATTCATTATGTCTTAAACTATGTTTCAGACATGCTTAAGTAAAGGTTAGTAACAGTCTAAGAATTTATGTTTGACTCATGCCTTCCTCTTGTAGGTTGGAAAAGAGACTGTTCAGACTACTGAGGATCAGATTTTGAAGAGAGATATGCCACCAGCATTTATCAAGTGAGTAATTAACCATTTGTTACTAAATAGAATAGTACTCTTGATAGAAAGAAAAAGTAGTAATCCCAAGAGTTACTTCTGTGTGTATGTGTGTGTTCATGTGTATGTGTATGTGGAGGTCGAAAATAAAGTAAATCCTAAAACAAAGAGGACCTTGACACCCCCCCCCCCCCCCACATATAGGGTAGCAATCCTTTACTCTGGAAACTGGAAATGAAAAAATAATTCAGCTTTTTTCCTGCTATTCTTGTATAAAGTTTATTTCAGAGTAACTTTGTAGCCCTATTTGATGAGGAGAATGTGAACCTATAAATGTGGAAGGAATGATGGAATTAGAAAGTCATCGTTGTATATATTTCAGTGAAGCATTACTCATGGGGCAAAAAACTTGGTCTCCATGAGAACATGGGAAAACCAGTGTGTTATGATGAACTGAAAAATACTGAGCAGTTTATTTAAAAAGTGTATAACATAATTAACTCCATCGAAATCTTACTGTAGCTTAAAGCCCAAACAAGATTAATGTGGCTGTCAGCTCTGGAGGCAAGTAAATTCTCTACAATTTGAAACACAATGGTTATGTTTTTCTTTCTTTTCTTTAGGATGTAAGGAAGCAGAAAATAAATGTCTTGGCTGTGAAGGGGAAGGGACTGAGGGAAACAGATGGAAGCAATTAATTACATCCTTGGAATTGTTGAGTAGGACATTCTTTGGGGGCTATTTGGTTGATGTTTGGATGTTTCCAGGGCATTACTGACCTTCGCTTCCTCTCAAGTCTGTGCTACATGGCTCTGAATAGTGACTGCTTCTTAGGCAGCACAAGAAGGAAATAAGTTTTAGAAACTTACTGTTAGATTTGCTTTCTAGACTGCGAGGATGCCAAGGCTACAGAAAACAGAAGACTTTTGGCCCATGAGTAGGTTCATGTTAAAATCATCTTGTATATATTAAAGAGCTTTCAGGGAAGGATATGCCATTTCAGATTTTGGAGTAGTCTAAAAATCAAATTACAGGCTTACTTGTATGACTGGCAATTCAGGGACTGTTGAAAAGTGGGTTTAATATTAGTTAAAAGTGACACACATGTTGAACATTCTAGAAAAAAAAAACCCCAAACCAAAAACTCTTGTTCCCCCCAAAACCCTTCAAATCAGAACTATTTCTGATATTAAGTATTTCAGATATGGAATATTCAAACTGAGTTTATATTGTAATTGCCACCGAGGGACTTGCAGTACTCAGGATGTTCCTTCTTAAAGGCTGGGTATGTGACAGGCATCTTTAATCTCAGCATTCAGGAGGCAAAGACAGGCAGATATTTGTGAGTTCCAGGCTGGCCTGGCCTACAGAGTGAGTTCTTAAACAGCCAGAGTTACATAGTGAGACTCTTGATTCAAAACAACAAACAAACAAACAACCAAAACAAAACCAGAGCAAACTCAAAACAATGACATTTTAATAAAGAACAAGATTTGCAAGACACAACAAGGCTTTCTTTTTGTGGGTAGAACAAGTTATATGGTCTCTGACTGCACTGGAAAATGAGTTCACAATTTACTAAGTTTACCCCAAGATTTGAGTCATAGCCACACTGCTTGACAATTGCCCTAGAAACTGTTTTGATCCTCATAAACTTTAGGAGAGCAGTAGCCATGATGGGCTATTAAAATATTAGACTCACTTCTGGAGAAGTGATTTGTCCTTTAGAAACTGTCAGCAGGCATGGCGGCTCCATCATTCTGTGCTTATATCTTTTGTTTTCATCAATCATCATCAGTCAGCTGAGCATTAACTGATATTCATATGTAATTGATTGATTAATGGCCTAGACACACTCAATGGTTAACTATTTATTGCTCTATTTGTGTATCATGCTCATTACTACATAGCAGTTCTTAACAGTATATAGCGAAAAATCCCCTGTGAAAGGTATGATACATAATTTATTAATAGTAATAAACTACAAAATTGACTAATACTTTACTTTTAAAAAAATTGAGGGCTGAGGAGATGGCTTAGCAGGTTAGAGCATAGCTGCTCTTCTAAAGGATCTGAATTTGGTTCCCAGTACTCACACTGTAGCACACAGCCATCTATACGTCCACTTCAGGGCATTAGAGCCTCTTCTGGCCCCCACAGGTACCAGGCAGTGTATGCATACACTACACAGACTACATGCTGACAAAATACCCACATATGTAAGATTAAGGGAAAAAAATTAAAATAAGTGCATTGAAAGTGACCAAGAGGTAGGAGCAGATGTTGTTGTTGGAAAGAAAAAATGGAGAATATTCAGTCACACATCCCTCGTCACTGCTTACTGCTGTTGTTGTTTTTCTTATCCTTCACTGTAGTGTAGTAGACTATTTTGCTTTCTATTATATTTGTTTTTGTTTTTACTAGAAGAAGAGTGAGTGGAATTATAGCTATTATGTCTGGGAATTGCACTTAGTTCCAGACACACACATGGGGGCATGTTGGAGTATGTCATATATATGAACTTTTTCTTTTTCAAACAGCAGTCTCACACTTAGTTAGCTCATCTGGCTTAAAAGTCAAGATCCTTTTGCCAGAGCTTCCTGAACTTGTTGGATTACAGGTTTCTTTTCCTATGTATCCAAGAAAAACAAAAGGTGGAAGTATTTTGAGAACTTTCAAGTTCAGGAGCTGTGATACAAATGGACTTTATAAGAACTGTCAGAGTAGACTTGAAGAGTGGAAGGAGGTGGCGTGTTCAGTGTGCGACTTGGGAGACTAGAGGAGAGAAGGCAAGCTCCACTGGATGTCCTAGGAGGTGGATAAAGTCATGGAGGTGCATGAGGAGAGGGCTGGTACTGGCGGAGGTGGCAGGAAACAGCCTAGTGCAGTAGGGTAGTTTGGGCCCAGGGAGGAAAGTCCTTGAAAGCCTGGCTGGGGAATTTCGAGCTGGCAGGAAAGAAGCTGTGTAGTTTTTGAGCCACAGGATGACAGCATGAAAGTGCTTTCTCAGCAAGGCTCATAACCAGATTCAGAATGGATAATATGTGTCAGGGCTAAAATGAAGAATAAATTGTGGGTCAAACTGGCCAGCTTCATTTTCTGTCAATGTAGACTTTGATTCCTTTGATTCACATTGATTCCTTACAGATGAGAAATGTTTTTGATAAATTGTTTGAATTTTTCTTGGGAAAAAAATTGCCTTTGTAGTATACTGTGGAACCTCATTCTTTTTTTGTAGCTGCTGTTGCTGCTGCTTCTTCTTCTTCTTCTTCTTCTTCTTCTTCTTCTTCTTCTTCTTCTCTCCTCCTCCTCTTCCTCCTCCTCTTCCTCCTCCTCTTCCTCCTCCTCTTCCTCTTCTTCCTCCTCCTCCTCTCCCTCCTCTCTCCTCCTTTTTCTTTCTTCTGTTTTTTTTTTTTTTTTTAAGACAGGGTTTCATTGTGTAGCTCTGGCTGTCCTGAACTCCTTCTGTAGAGTGGGAAGTGCATTCTTATGTTTTGGCCCCATGTAAGGCTGTTTAGTGCCCCCAGGGTTCTCAGGCTATCACTTTCGGTCTTGTGCATGAACTCCCTGTAAGGAGCAGAATGCGCATTTTCTGCTGGCAGGCAAATGCTGTTGCACAGGGACTGGAACGTGTTACCTTCTGCCTCATTGCTGCTCTCAACAGCTTGCTGGGAGCTGTCAAAGCTCTGGTTGATTTGCCAGCTTGGATTGTTTCTGAAGCATGTTGGGCTATCTAGGCCTGCTGAATAAAACGATGTTCTGAGAGTGCCCTGTGAGAAAGAGCTCCGAGTTCCGTCCCTTCATTGTTTCCCTGGGGAAACACCTTGTTCTCATCCTTATTAAATGCTCTCCGTTAAGCATCATTTTGTCACATACCTGTACGATTTTAACATAGTTTATATTAATGTATAACAAAAACATTTTAAAAGTATTAAAAATACTTAGATCTAATTTACGTCTTTTTGGCCTAAGGTAAATAGTGTTTTATTTTATATTATCAGCACCTATAATTAGCTTTTATTTTCTTTTGATGTTAAGCACCCAAACAATTGTCTTGTGATTTGTATTTTTAAACCTACTTGATGGTTACAGTGCATAGAGTTTTTTATTTTTAGATTTTTTTAAAAATCATATCATAAAATGTCATTTGTTTGCCTGGGGCTAAATGTATGCTTTTGATGTTTCAGGGTGGTTTCTTTTTTTTTGTTGTTGTTGTTGTTTTGTTTGGTTTTTAACTTGAGATTTTTGTGATTTTTGTGATCTTTTCCATTGCTATTTTAAGAAGACTTTTGTCTCTTCAGCTGGATGGCCAAGTTTTGTGAGCTAATGCTGCCTCACTGCATTTTTGACCCAGGGCAGGCACTCTTGATTTTAAATAGCTCCCCTTTGGGCTTGCTGTATTAAACATGGCTGTATACTGCTGTTTTGGATTGACTTCTTTAAAAATGACATGAGTCTTCTCAGTAATTAGCGGAGTCAGTTTATTAATTTGCAGACGAGGTCTAAATAGACTGACAGGTTAAATCTGGCTTACTTTATGTACCCTACATGATTGAGAAATGAACAAATAAAACACTAGACTTGTGTCACTTGTGTTCCATTGTCTACAGAATAATTACAAGATTGAGAAGAACTCAGAGGGCCCGGGGAGATTACATATAGGTTAGTGGGATGTATATACATATATTACCATGTATGCTGGCTAGTCTTATGTCAACTTGACACACAAGAGAAGGGGGGGAGGGGAGACAACCTGCAGGTACGCTGGGTTGAGGAGCAAGAGAGAGAGGAGGGGCCAAGCAGCCCCTTTTATAGTGGGCAGGGTTACCTGCCTGTTGCCAGGTAACTGTGGGGCGGAGTGTACCTGGCTATTGCCAGGTGACTGTGGAGGTGGAGTTTAACAGATTACTAACATTCCCAAGTTTTGGTTTAATTAAAAAGAAAAATTAGAAAGAGGTGACAGCGAAGCAGGAATAGGGTCGTCATGAAATCTGGCTACTTCCTGCTGGCATTGGGGGCGA